TGACCAAAGCAGAATTATCAATATCACCGTGTGTTGTCGAGATTTTGCAACACTGGCAGGTCCTGCTGTAAACGCAATGCGCTGCTCTCCCCTTTTCCTCAACGACCTTCACACGGGTTGGTTGCGTTCAGGAGATATGAGTTATTTTCTGGAGCTGTTGAAAATAATCAGCCATAACAAATGGATCCACTTGAGGCAATCCATGACGTTTCTTGAAACTGTAAAAGTATCCGTCTCCGGGTACATTATTCTTGGAGGGATTTGGAATCTCACTTTTTGTCATATAACGTGCGATAGTAGTAGAACTTCAGCCTTGGACAAGCCAAAATCCCACTTTTCCATAGTGTTAATGCCCGAAGCGATTTTAGCTTCTACATCCACCGGAATCGCACTCGGCCTTCTTCCCGTAGTACCATACAGGCAACTCTTAGACTAGTAGGTAACGTAGAAACGTGCTCAACTTTTTGGCTCAGCTCTGGTACTATCTTCGGTCCCAAGCTAATCGATTCACCCCTCGAAACATAGGAAAATCCACTAGCCCCTCATTTTATTTGTCAAACTTTCATAGCGAATCAAAACAAACATTGTGTAGTAGTAGAATTTCGACTAGAATGGGATACGTTAATCGTTTGCTTGGGACCAATAGGCTAGTCAAGTTGTGAGCCAATTTAAAATCGTTAGTTTCGTATTGATTGTTGGTAGTACCCTTCAAGCCTCTTTGGTCATTAACTCGCTTTTTTAGGGTTGATCTGAGGATTTTATGCAGCACTGGACATCGACATGTGTTTACTTTTTACAGCTTCAATAGCAGCATATAATGAAACTTTAGAATATGTTGATCTGGCCTTTTTTCAACGTATGTTCGAGCCATTGTATCTGGAATAATGAAAACTATAAGATAAAAATACATCAAGTAACAAAATAAGCCCACAGACAATGTAATATTTTAAGTAAACAAAACATAATCCACTTCCCCCACTGTTATCAAGATTCCGGGGAAGTGTAACATGCCGAATCTCGAGGGGGACGACTCTATCTACGATGCAGAAAATATTGTGTTTTGCTGTGGCTAGCTGCGCGCACGCTGAGTAGATAGAAAGAAGATTGATGACGATACTGAAGATTTCCTGCAAAAAGATGATGCGCGATGCAAGTAGATGCGACAAATGAAAGAAGATTTTTCGGAGATTGATTCGCTAGTGTAAGATTTGTTGAGCATCTAAACTTGAGATTTAGGTGTGTCGCCCCCCTCGCCGAATCTAATAGATATCATAGAAGAAGTTACTGGCTATTCATATCGAACTAATCAATTACTTTATAAAGCGGGACCCACAATACTCCGTCACCATCAGCGTTCGTCCATCAAATGACAGGTGTAACGCATGTCAAGTGGCTTTTCCACCGACATCTCTACTTGGCGACTTCACATCGACGCTGCGTCAGCAACCGGCTGATACTAATGATTTTAAATTGGCTCATCCTATTGGTCCCAAGCAAATCGATTAACGTAGCCCATTCTAGTCGAAATTCTAGTACACACTATGTTTGTTTCGATTCGCTTTGAAAGTTTGACAGTTAAATTGAGGAATTCTTGGATTCTACTATGTTTCGAGGGGTGCATCAATTAGCTTGGGACCGACGAGCGTACCAGAGCTGAGCCAAAAAGTTGAGAACGTTTCTTCGGGACCTGCTGGTCTTAGAGTTACCTCTATGGCGTCAGTCCGTTATTTTGATCGGATTTAAATTTGACGCTAACGCTGACGCAGTATTGTGGATCCCACTTAAGATTCTACAAAGGGTAAGTAATTTTGTGTTCTTCTTCTTTTTTAAATATCATTAAATAATCATCATTAGTTTACAACGGTGCCGGTGGTGTAGTGGTAAGCGTAATTACCTCTCACCCCAGCAGGCCTGGGTTCAATTCCAGTCGGCGCCGCCAGGATGTTCTGAGGCAGCATGGAAAACAAGATCGACGAAAAAAAACAAACAAAAAATCATTAGTTTACACAACGTGTATTTCATGATTTTAGAATGAAAATTTCCTGGGTAAAACACATTCGCTGTATTTACTTACTTGTATTCTTCGAAGTATACACACTTAGAAAAAATCATGTAAATTTAGGTGCTCTGAGACTGACATATACGAGCGTCAATTTTGACATAAAATTGAGTCATAACAGACGCGAAATTCAACTCAATCAAACGTACTTTTCGTCGAGCAACGAACTTTTCAGTCTCGGAGCCCTTACTTTTACAATACATATTTGTTCACGACTCATTCTTTATGTCAAAGATGTATTCCGTCACGTGTAAAATTAGGTATTTCTAAATGTGTAGCACAATTAAACGCAATCGAATACATGGAACTCAAAACGACTGCTTCACAAAACTCTTGGTGAACAAAATTTATCACAAAGAAAACCATTTCTACTTTATTGCTTTGCTAGCAATCGTGAGAGTATCATTGAAACAGTGGTGCCAGATGTATTGCCTCTAGCAATGAATTTATGTTAATTAAAACAACCATTTTAGACATTTTACTGGTCCAATTAAAAAGGTCACAGAAGATTGCAACAGATACAGTAGCGCTGCGCTTGAGTGAAGGTGGAAGCAACGCATAGAAAAATGAGCAATTACACAAACCTCTCTTCTGAGGATGTAATCTTTGCTGTCAAATTCATTCGAAGCATTTACATTTGAGCGACAGATGACGCGATTGTACCTGTCTCATAGCGTTCGTATGAAAAAATGGAAGAGTTGCCAGTCTTCTTGATTTGTTGTCTTCGATTAAACACTAACAAGAAAGATGGTGGCAGTGCACGTTACCTGTGATTCGCTTTCCCTCTCATGGCGGTAAGCTTCAACTCAGATCTACCAACCAATACGAAACTAACGATTTTAAATTGACTCACTACTTGACTAGCCTATTGGTCCCAAGCAAACGATTAACGTTACCCATTCTAGTCGAAATTCTAGTGCTACACAATGTTTGTTTTGATTCGCTATGAAAGTTTGACAGATAAAATGAGGGGTTATTGGTTTTTTCCTATGTTTCGAAGGGGTGAATCGATTAGCTTGGGACCGAAGAGAGTACAAGAGCTGAGCCAAAAAGTTGAGCACGTTATTTCGGGACCTTCTAGTCTTAGAGTTACCTCCTATGGATCTACACTTCATACCGGTACTAATTGATGGATGTGCCAAATTGTTAAGGATCGTATTGATTAACATCGACATCGACACCATAGCAGCTTGACATTCGTGATCAGGATTTAATCTGAGGATAATACCGGTTGGAGCTCACCACCATCACGGGTCTGGCAATATGATTTTTTTGACTGCCTGTCCTTATGCACTAGGTAGTGTGAGGTCACATTTGCTGTTGTAGTGAAATGAAGGAAGAAAAGAGATGGTTAAACTTTCCTCACCATACCAGTTGATATTTATGAAAAATGGACAGTTGTGGCGCGTTGACATGCTCTTCCAATGAATTTAACAAATACAATTAGAGAATAGTAATCAAATAATATTTCAAAAAGAAGAAGTAGACAAATTATTTACCCTTTGTAGAACCTTTATAGCTACCTGCAAAACAAATCAACTGTTTTAACTCTCCGTAATAGCGGTACCCGAAGCTTATTATGACGAAGTAAACTAACTCTTTCTGGAGTTGAAATGACGTTTCGTGGAATGAGCTACGGTAGTGTGTGTATACTCAAGATTTTGTCGTAGTATTGGTGCAGGGGTGTCATTAGGAGTCTATGTATCATTATATCAGGGGAAACATGTCAGAAGGGTTTAACTCGAAACGTAAACAATGACTTTGATCGTCGATTTTTCTTGAATGAGCACACACACCCACGGAATATGACTGCACCAGCTCATAGAACAAACATTTTACTGTCAGATGATTTAGTTAGTTTGAGTGGGTGTGTTGTCATTCGTAAGAAATCTACAATCCAAGTCATTGTTTACGTTTCGAGTTAGACCTTTCTGACATGTTTCCCCTGATATGTTAGTTATTAGAATAATATGTTTGTACTCTTTAAAATTTGTCGAACCTCTTAACGGAATCCATTTATGGAGAGCTTTGAGTGTGTTGGTTTATTTCATTTTAATTCCATTATAATTGCTTATCTTTTGACAGATACGCGTATTTCGTCTACTACTTGGCACTGATAAAGTCTGCAAGTAGTAGACGAAATACGCGTATCTGTCAAAAGATAAGCAATTATAACGGAATTAAAAGGAAATAAACCAAAGCTCTTCATAATGTTTGCACTGTTATTTTATAAAAATAAATGACACACTTACCCGATGGTACACTCCCCCCGGTGTAGCGCAAAAAAAAATTCGTTTTTTATAAGCTGTAGTATTTTACTTGAAATTGTGATGATTTTCGAAGTTCTAAGTGACCATTTTCATTGCAAAAAATTGTAACCGATTTGGTTAGAAGTGATGTATTGCTTAAAGTGATTTATTGCTTAAATATGATTGCTTAGAAGTGATTTATTGCTTAAATATGCTGGAATTTTGTGAAGTAATTGAATTTTGTTGAATCAGAATCGGGATCGCAGAGTCGGTTAACTTCAAATCAGAGGAGTCGGAATCGGAGTGGGAGTCAGAGTCGATTGATTTTCATCAAACTCCACAGCGGAAGATTTCAGTTGCATATTTCTGAATGTATCAGATTTAGCATTTGACCAAGAACTGTGCTGTCATTGTCTTCACTCGTTTCCACTGGGCCACGGATGATCCCGAGATTGAGCTCGGTTAATTAGCATGAAGTAACAACTCTCCCATTAATTCATTTAACTCTAGATTTAAGACATTACTTATGTATAACGCAAATGATAGCTTGGCTCTGTAAAGTTTATTCGATTGAGCCTGTACAAATAAATTAATTTATTAATCTCCCGACATGGAACGTAGTGCAACATTATGTTCGTTTAGCTAAAAATTACTATTGTAACATTCCGTTTTTTTTCCATTTCACTTTTCAGCACCATGGGTAGTTCTGGCTATACGTGCATACGACGGACATTCTGCTCGTTCAATATTCTAATATGGGTAATAAATAGGAATACTGTGACTTTCTTGAACTCATCTTTTATTAAATTCCCGTTCCCAATCCGGTATGTTCCAGCTTTGCGGTAGCTGCTTTCTCGCCATCGGCGCGTGGCTCCGGTTTGCCGCGCCAGGCTATGCCACTCTACTGCCAGACCACGCTGCCCTCAGTGCGGATTGCCTGTTCATGACCATCGGCGTAGTCAGCTTCGTTATCGCCTTTTTCGGCTGCTGCGGCTCGTGGTTCCAGTCGAGGTGTTTCCTGATTATAGTACGTGCATATTATTTATTTGGGCAATCGCAATTGAAAGATTAACACTCTGATTGTTTAATGCTTTCTTGTTTTGGCAGTATTTCTCGCTGGTGGTAGTGCTGTTTCTAAGCGAGTTTCTGCTGGGATCGCTGGCGTTTGTCTTCCGAGGTGGAATCGGCCGAATGATGATTCACGAGCTGAAGTATGGCATCGAGAAGCACTACAACATGTCGGATCGGGGAGGCCTTCTGTCGCCCTCGGTGGCCTCCATCTGGGATAAGGTGCAGGTTGAGGTATGTCAAGGGCCCTTGCCTATTTCATATTTGAAATCTTCAACATTTATGAATCAAATTTAATTGTAGCTACAATGCTGCGGTGTGAGTTCGTACGAAGATTGGTACGACATCAGCGCCTGGCCGGGTGAGCGGTGGGTTCCACGTTCTTGCTGCCGACCGCGATACAATTCCTTGATGATGGAAGGATCGGGCGATGATATGCAGAGCGTTGATTGCCGGAAGTAATTTCTTAGCCTTTTTGGGATGATCACTTTGAATTCTTACCACTTTATTTTGATTATTTCAGAGCTGGCGATCCATCTCTGCTGTGGGACAAGAGCTGTGGTCAAATTCTTCAAATGTTTTTCGTCCAACGACTACACGTCGTCGGAACTGTTGGTTTAGTCATAGCATTTTTGCAGGTGAGATCATTCTGAACAATAAATAAAGTTCTATTGCAATTTCGATCGACTTCTTTCTATTTTCAGCTATTCGGTCTCATATCATCGATGTTACTATTTTGCACAGTGAAGCACAAACGCTCCTCGAAAACGTACAAATCCTACTCGCCCACGGTGGATACAACTCTAAATCGAAACAGCACCGGAACCTATCTGGATGATTGATATTGACTCAATTCTCGAGCCAAAATCGAGAACATTGAAAATCGAGAAATGAACCCGACGCACAAAGATCAACACGAACAAAACGATGAAGAAAGCTGATGAATACTCAATGAGAAACTATTTGCTTTTACACATTATATAGGGGAAATGGCTCTAATGTTGGCCTATGGATCTAAGATTTAGACCATCGCTAAAAATATGCTATTCATCAATTTTATCTAGATGAACGCGTCATTGGGACGGTTCTAATGGATATTTTTGGTCGCTATTGAAAATTTAGTCGATTGCTGAATTTATGTATGGGCCCAAATTAGGGGCATTTAGGCCGACATTACATCCATTTCCCCTAGATCAAAGATTGCCGATGATACGCCGAAATCGAATCCTTAGATTAAGGAGATGCTGTGCCAAAAAACGTTGAAGATAACTGATTGTATTTTTTGTTAAGAAAAGATTAAGCTAGTATTGATAATTTATGAAACGTTAGCGACCTTAGGCGTTAGGACGGTGACGTAGAAAAGGGGAAAAAAAAAACAAACAATTGGTGTACGGTCGTTCCGGAACATTTTATTTACAAAAGAAACCAGTGATTTGAAATCTCTGATCAAGCCTCGGTAGGTTTTAGAATTAAATTTATCTTGTTTTAGGATTATTTATAAAAATATAAATCGAGGAAACTAGCTTAGCAGTAAAACACATTCCAAAGTAGCAGTTGTATTTACATAATAATCAATGAAGTGAAATAAATCATAATTGTACTCGATGCCTTCCCTCCTTTCAGTCTTATTCTAGCCCGCTCAGCTTGGAGCCGAAATCGTTGAGCGTTTTGGTAAAATTTTTGTTCGCTTTTCTTAGGATATTTTTGGGTGCCTGGGAAGTGCAACAAAAAAAAACATTATTTGATCATAAGTTAGAAGATTTGTACTCACATCAATGATGGCATTGATTTGCTTGGCGAAGAAGTCCACTACGTTGACAATTCCCTTCCGTAGGGCTTCGTAGTCTTCAATTGGATTCGGCTCGTAGTCTTTAGGGGTTGCCTTGTCCACTACGGCTCCTGACTGTTGGTAAAATTGAACAATAGTTTAAACTAGAGAGTGTCTAGTATAAGAGAGGAGCGGACTCGTTGATTTTGAGCCAAACAAACTGTCAAAGCCAGAGCCAATCGAGCAGCGCCTATCTTGATTGCATTGGCAGTGTTGCTAGAAACCATCTAGGCATTGATTTCCAAGGCAGTTTGTTTTTAATCCGCTCCTCTCTTATACTAGACCCTCTCTAGGTTCAACTCTGTATATTATAATGAGACGAGTGAGTAGAACTTACATTCAGTAGTTTCACAATCTTTTGTTGCACGTTGTCGAACATGGAGAGGATCTTGGAATGTAGATCTTCCTTTTCTTGTATGGCCTCCTTGCCCTCGGATTCGTCGTGAATCAATCCGTAGACCTGGATGAATAAATTATGATTATTATTTTGCTCAGCCCTAGAGAGTCGACGTATAATGAGTCGCGCCAAGTGGGAAGCCAAATCTACCTATAGAACTGTCAAACCGGCTACCTATCGTGCAAAGTTAACAAGCATAACGATGATATGAAAGGTCCACGAAAGGTATTGCAGTGAGCATTAAATTGTCATGGCAAATTGATGCAAAGTTTTCTGTTACCAAGTGAAAAGAAAGGGAATCTTTCGGAAACCGTGATGCGAGTTCAACTGTTTTTCTTTTGGCTTGACTCATGATACACCGACTCTAGCTTAACCCCGATGTGCGGTATAAGAGGTGAGGAGAAAGGAAACTAGTGGACTCTTTCATTCTGACGGTGTTCTTATGCAACAGCAGACGTGACGTCACGTCTGTTGCTGCATAAGAAGACGCGAGAACGAAAGAGTCCACTAGTTTCCTTTCTCCTCACCTCTTTTACCGCACATCGGCTTAACCCAACACACATAAAAAATCATGAAAATTTTGGTGGTCTATGACTAACATATGCAAGCGTCGCTTACGGCATACAATTCAAGTCTTAATCATGTAAACGATTTTTTTTCCGAGATACACTCAAACATATTATTTAACAAAGTTAGATCTAAATTTAATCATTTTACGGCTAGGCAATATTTATGCATTGGCTAGATTATAATAGAGAGGGTCTAATATATGAGAGTAGCGGACTCGATGTCAGTTATACGAGGTGATAACATCGTAGCGGACTGGCTGATTTTGAGCCAAACGAAATTTCAAAGCCAGAGCCAATCTGAGCAGTGCCTATCAAGATGCATTGGCAGTGTTGCTAAAAAACAACCCAGGCATAGCTTGCCAAGGCAGTTGGTTTTGAATCCACTCCTCTCTTATACTAGACCCTCTATAGATTAAAATAATCTTCAAAATAAATAACTGAGAGGAATATGTTTAGTGTACTACACCCTATTTTGAGTCTACCCAGTGACTGAGTAGACTCCACTCATTTTTGCGTCAAGTGTGGAGTTGTCAAAATTTGATTAAATAACTTTTGTTCTGATGAGTTAAAGCTACCCAGATTCTGGGTAAATGAATATAATAATAACTTCTCAAAATTAAAGATGGTGCACCAAAGAAAAATATCTGTTGCGCAGAGTGAAAATGAAATATTTAGATGTGATGCTGCTTAAAACACCAACCATGGAACTTTTTGAATGGTGGCACATGACAGCAGCTTGTTGGTAAGTAAATTTAAAGTATTTTTATCTTTATACTTTTTCTAAATCCCTAATTTTTCAGGAATCAAGTGCAGTTTTTAACTTCCGACCAAGCCAGCGACTCATTCATCGATTTTGGTTTTGGATACTTCAAGTCGTACAAGCCATCGATGAAGGAGTCAGCAGTTAACCTTTTAAATATATACTGTATGATTTTTATAAATGTATCACAAATTACAAAGAAATTTCTGATCAAAGCACAAAACTGACATCTGCCGCCGTGTTCGCGGAAAATATTTATCCTAGCCATGAACACGTGTACAATATTTATGAGTTGGTTCGTGTCTTATCTATTTCGGACAAATTATTTTCATCAAGATAAAAAAAAAATTCTATGGTTTTGACAGATGGGAACGCTGCACTTTTGAATCGGCCGTTATGGATTCTCGATCAAGATCAAGTTTCATGTCGGATTGTCGGTGAAACTGTTAATTGGTGATACAAATTGCTATCCATATGCATCTAAAAGTAAACTCTTTGTAAGTATTTTAGAATATTTCATTTCTAAACAAAATTAGTAAGCTGTACCCTGGGACGGGACTTGACAATCGGGTAGCGATTTCGAGCCAATTTGCTGTCAAATCCGAGCCAGTTTCTGATTGGTCGATTTGACAGTTGCAATCGTGGAATAAAAAGGACAGAGGGATCTGAGAGGGATCGCATCAATCTGGCTGGTAGTGATGCCGGAATCAATGTTGACGTCAATGGCGTTGTTTATTTTTTTATATTTGCGAAAGGAAAGTTCAAAAATTGAGTGCACTGCGTGTTTGAAGTGATGGATATTGTTGTTTGTTTATGGTTGTTTTTATTGTGTTGAGCAAAAGTGATGTACAAGCTGGTAAACTGCGGGAGAAACTTCGAATAAAATCCAAATTAAAATAGAAAACATATGTTACATTCCTGGCATCATTGGTCAACTCCGTCAAATACCACGCACAACTTTCCGAAGGGCATTCTTCAAAAACATCAAGAAGAGTGAGAAGCTCGATTGTCAAGTCCCGTCCCGGGCTGTACCCAGTAATCAAACGTAAAAATCTGAGTAGGTTCTACACAATTTCAACCGCAATCAAGTTTAGCCAGATTTGAGTAAATACAGGTTTACCTATTTTTGGATAACTTCCCTTCTGGCCGAACTGAATGATTTTCATCTACACGCTAACTTGAAAGTACTCATTAATGAGTAAAAAAAGACCCATTTTGAAGAAAAGTGGCTTAACTCATTAATGATTAAACAATTTTACCCATTAATGAGTATCTGTTACCCATTAATGATTAACAATTACTCATTAATGGGTAACAGATACTCATTAATGGGTAAATTTTTTTTACTCATTTAATGAGTTAAGCCACTTTTCTTCAAAATGGGTCTTTTTCAACCATTAATGGGTACTTTCAAGTTAGCGTGTAAAAAATGATAGCCCCAGAATATCGTGTATTCCACTGACTACTTTGTCGGACTGTTTGCTGTTGCAAATTTAAATCAAGGTTTAAACGACCAATCAGAACCACTCAGCGATTGACTTCAATTGACTCAAAGCATTTTCTTTCCATACGAAATTTACTCATATTTGAGAAAACCTACAGGAAATCATAGCTAATGAGTAGCTGCAGGTTTGCCCAAATAAGTAAATTTCGTATGGAAGTCAATTGAATTCTGTCACTGAGTCGTTCTGATTGGCCGTGTACAAGCATGCTTCTGCAAACGACATCTTGCTTGAACGTTTTCCAGAATGTGTAAAATCTTCTACAGTTTAAAGAATACCGTTTTGCGGTCATTCAGTGTTGGAAAAATATGAACAAGTTGATAATGTCGTGAATTCTTTCGAAAACTTGCAAGAAGAAGTGATGAATGGAACCAAGGAAATCTGTTCGGTTGAAAGTGACTCCGTTCCAACCTTCTCTAGTCCAAGTGCGATTGGATGGATTTTAACCGTATGCGTGATAATGTTTTCACCATCGTACAAATAAGGTTCCCGTTTCACCTGTGCATACAATGCCTTGGTTTTCTTTGCATGCACGTAACCTATAGCTCATACCGTAGTAGGCTGTGTATAAAAGAAAATGATTTACTTAGTTTGACAGTTGCACCATGACGAAGTGGCAGCGTATTCGTGATTTGTCCCACGCGCAATTGTCGCAAAAAGACATTTCAATCGCCGTGGGAGTGTCCCGCGTGGACCGTCAAAAGGGGTTTTAGACCGAGAAAAGAAAGGAAAACTATACGCGAAGGTTGCCACAGGTCGTCCGAGGTCAGCTCGGGTTCCAAGGGTTATCGCTGCTATCAAAAGGAGGATTCGGGTGAATTCAGTGCGTTCAATAAGGAAAATGGCAAAGGAACACGGGATCAGTGACTTTACGTGGAAGATCGTAAAGAAAGATTGCGGGGCGAAGTCGAGGGCACGAAAAAAAACTCACATGATTACCAACCGCATCCGGGAGCTACGAGTCGAACGATGCAAGACAATCTTGAACTTCCTTAAGCGAAAAAATCCGGTAATCCTGTTCACCGACGAGAGCATGTTTACCGTCGATCCCGTATCAAATTCCAGAACCGACCGGTTTATTAGTTCTCTTCCTGTAAATGAAGTGGCCGACGAGCACAAGAACGTGTATCTGACCAAGAATCCTGCTAGCGTTATGGTGTTTGGATTGGTGGCTTCCGATGGCAAAAAAAATGGACCCGGTGTTCATTCCAGAAGGCGACAAGGTCAACACGGAGGTCTACATCACGATTTTATGTAAGTATGTTCTTCCGTGGATCAAAGAACAGTACGGTCCGAAGCCAAATGCTGTATTTCAAAAAGATGGGGCTCCGTACACACCTCGAACCGCACTCAGAAGAGGTTGCTGGAACATCTTCCGTTCTGGGCGAAGGATATGTGGCCGCCATCCAGCCCCGATCTTAATCCGCTGGATTACTCAATATGGCGCGTCATGAAGGCCAAGGCCTGTTCTAAACGCCACCCGAGTACAGCAAGCCTCAGACAAACATTGACCCGTACCTGGAGAGAAATGGATCCAGACGACATTATTAGAACCTGCCGTGAATTCCGGAAGCGTGTGGAGGCCGTAATTGCAGCAAGTCGAAACTCGATCGATGATTAACATAGTTTAAGACTCTGAGAAACATCCCCCCTTTGAATAAATAAAAAAAAACTCGAAATCGAAATTTTTGATATTTTTTTTAATTTTGACATTGCTCAATGGTGCAAACATTATCACGCATACGGTATATTACTACAAATCTCCTCCCATACGGAAAGTAATTACTGATTGGCATCGTTCGGATCTCTACCTACCCGCCGGAACATCAGTACTTGAAGTATATTATGCAGTGAACTATCCAACCGCCCGGCAGCACCACCAGGATCGTGTCACGGTTGGTTTCTTCTTATGTAAGTAAATATGTTGATGCATCTAGTCTTTTAAAACACGATCTCAAGCTCAATTACTTCAATTTTAGATAAGCACAATAACAATTGAGACCATTGACACCGGCACTGACACACAGGCTGGTAAACGGATCGGGACATTTCCATAATTCGGTTTTGCGTGTTGATCTGGCTAATCGGTGCGCTGTGATGTTGTTGTATTGTACATGAGGAAGTTGGTGGTGCTTCCGTACCGGGAGGATAGCTTGCTGGATAATATTGAGGTGTCGGATGTCAAGCCGATAAAGAAGGCGCCAACGCAAATGACCGCCAAGGCGTCCTTTC